AATTACATCATATGATAAAAAAAAGTCTCAGCGGACCATGAAATTTATTTTTAAAATAATGATGTTGGCAATACTAATAATAATTGACACTTCATTTGATAGTTATTTGATCGTAACTGTAAAATTAAACAAAGAACGCGTTGGTGTTGCCAACTTCATTTTTTTTTACATGAAATTTCAAAGCATGCTAGAGGACTTTTTATATTTCATACTTAAAGTTTATTCACTAAGATTGTGAATTGTCAGTGTCAGATTTTGAACATGTTTTAAGTTTCTTGTTATGAAAAAAGATGAAATATATTTAAAAAAAACAAGGCTAAATATAAGCCCCGCCCATCCGCCCTATCGCAGTTGTGATGATTTTTTTTATTCGTCGTAAGCCGGTAGGTGGAGCTTAATTGTAAAATCAATATTTCTCTACAAAATTTACCATTTTGAACATGCTTTGAGTTTCTTGTTATGAAAAGAAGATTACATATATTAAAAAACATACAAAGTTAAATACAAGCCTCGCCCACCCGCCTTATCTGAGTTGTTATAATATAGTGTTACAAAAATTATGTTGGCAAGACCAGCGCTTTGTTGAATTCGCTTTAAAAAAATCTCAATATGTACAGGGTGAATCATTCAGCGTAAGAAAAAAAGTCAAAACTAAAGTCACATTATTTTTAAGGCAATTTAATTATTTTCAATGGAACATTCTATATATTTTCACAAATTCTGATTGACCTCCTAAGCTATATAAACACAGTTTATTTTTGAAATTCCGATCCGACGTTGCCAATTTCTCCACTTTTTAAAATTTTTTTTTAAATCTGTGATATACTATTTTGTGAAGAGATAAATATATTAAGCACTTTGTTGTGGTATATATAAAATTGAGCCTTATAGTTTCTTTTTTTAAATTATTGTAATTTTCAAATGTCGACATTTCATTTTTTTTTAAATAGAACACCCTGTATTTTCTATATTTAAAATTGACAGTTGCTGTATGTTTTTTTATGAGTCACACACCTACATATTGAAAAAAAAATTATAAACCCTAAAATTTGATTTAATTGATTTCAAAACAAAGTGCGTACCTCTGATTTAGGCACACACTCCAAAATTACATCATATGATAAAAAAAAGTCCCAGCGGACCATGAAATTTATTTTTAAAATAATGATGTTGGCAATACTAATAACTGACACTTCATTTGATAGTTATTTGATCGTAACTGTAAAATTAAACAAATAAGGCGTTGGTGTTGCCAACTTCATTTTTTTTACATGAAATTTCAAAGCATGCTAGAGGAATTTTTATGTTTCACACTTAAAGTTTATTCACTAAGATTGTCAGTGGTCAAATTTTGAACATGTTTTAAGTTTTTTGTTATGAAAAAAGGTGAAATATATTTACAAAAACAAGGCTAAATATAAGTCCCGCCCTATCGCAGTTGTGATGATTTTTTTATTCGTCGTGGCCCGGGAGGTGGAGCTTAACTGCAAAATCAATATTTCTCTACAAAATTTACCCTTTTGAACATGTTTTAAGTTTCTTGTTATGAAAAGTAGATTACATACATTTAAAAAAACAAGGCTAAATATATGCCCGCCCACCCGCCCTGTCGCAGTTGTGATGATTTTTTCTATTCGTCGTGACCCGGGAGGTGGAGCTTAATTGCAAAATCCATATTTCTCTACAAAATTTACCATTTTGAGCATGCTTTAAGTTTCTTGTTATGAAAAGATTACATATATTTAAAAAAAAACAAGAGTCTAATTATAAGCCCCGCCCACTCGCCCTATCGCAGTTGTGATGATTTTTTTTATTCGCCATGAGCTTGGGGGTGGAACTTAATTGCAAAATCCATATTTCTCTACAAAAATTTACCATTTTGAACATGTTTTAAGTTGCTTGTTCTGAAAAGATTACATATATTTAAAAAAAAACGGGGCTAAATATATGCCCCGCCCACCCGCCCCATGGCATTTGTGATGATTTTTTTTTATTCGTCGTGACCCGGAAGGTGGAGCTTAATTGCAAAATTAATATTTCTCTACAAAATTTACCATTTTGAGCATGCTTAAAGTTTCTTGTTATGAAAAGATCACACATATTAAAAAAAACAAGGCTAATTCTAAGCCCCGCCCACCCGCCCCATCGCAGTTGTGATGATTTTTTTATTCGTCGGGGGCCGCGGAGTGAAGCTTAATTGCAAAATCCATATTTCTCTACAAAAATTTACCATTTTCAACATATTTTAAGTTTCTTGTTATGAAAAGATTACAAATATTTAAAAAAACAAGGCTAAATATATGCCCCGCCCACCCGCCCTATCGCAGCTGTGATGATTTTTTTATTCGTCGTGACCCGGGAGGTGAAGCTTAATTGCAAAATCAATATTTCTCTACAAAATTTACCATTTTGAACATGCTTTAAGTTTCTTGTTATGAAAAGATCACATATAATAAAAAAAAAACAAGAGTCTAATTATAAGCCCCGCCCACTAGCCCTATCGCACTTGTGATGATTTTTTTTATTCGCCATGAGCTTGGGGGTGCAGCTTAATTGCAAAATCCATATTTCTTTACAAAAATTTACCATTTTGAACATGTTTTAAGTTTCTTGTTCTGAAAAGATTACATATATTTAAAAAAACAAGGCTAAATATATGCCCCGCCCACCCGCCCAATCGCATTTTTGATGATTTTTTTTTTATGCGTCGTGACCCGGGAGGTGGAGCTTAATTGCAAAATTAATATTTCTCTACAAAATTTACCATTTTGAGCATGCTTAAAGTTTCTTGTTATGAAAAGATCACACATATTAAAAAAACAAGGCTAATTCTAAGCCCCGCCCACCCGCCCTATCGCAGTTGTGATGATTTTTTTATTCGTCGTGGGCCGCGGAGTGAAGCTTAATTGCAAAATCCATATTTCTCTACAAAAATTTACCATTTTCAACATATTTTAAGTTTCTTGTTATGAAAAGATTACAAATATTTAAAAAAACAAGGCTAAATATATGCCCCGCCCACCCGCCCTATCGCATTTGTGATGATTTTTTTTTATTCGTCGTGACCCGGGAGGTGGAGCTTAATTGCAAAATTAATATTTCTCTACAAAATTTACCATTTTGAGCATGCTTTAAGTTTCTTGTTATGAAAAGATTACATATATTTAAAAAAACAAGAGTCTAATTATAAGCCCCGCTCACTCGCTCTATCGCAGTTGTGATGATTTTTTTTTATTCGCCATGAGCTTGGGGGTGGAGCTTAATTGCAAAATCCATATTTCTCTACAAAAATTTACCATTTTGAACATGTTTTAAGTTTCTTGTTATGAAAAGATTACATATATTTAAAAAAACAAGAGTCTAATTATAAGCCCCGCCCACTCGCCCTATCGCAGTTGTGATGATTTTTTTTATTCGCCATGAGCTTGGGGGTGGAGCTTAATTGCAAAATCCATATTTCTTTACAAAAATTTACCATTTTGAACATGTTTTAAGTTTCTTGTTCTGAAAAGATTACATATATTTAAAAAAACAAGGCTAAATATATGCCCCGCCCACCCGCCCTATCGCAGCTGTGATGATTTTTTTATTTGTCGTGACCCGGGAGGTGGAGCTTAATTGCAAAATCAATATTTCTCTACAAAATTTACTATTTTTAACATGTTTTAAGTTTCTTGTTATGAAAAGAAGATTACATATATTAAAAAAATATGAAAGGCTAAATGCAAGCCGCGCCCACCCGCCTTATCTGATTTGTTATAATATTTTTTTATTCAACGTGAGCCGGGGGTTGGAACTTAATTGCAAAATCAATATTTCTTTAGAAAATTTTCTTATAGAAAACCCAATATATTATTAAATTGTGAACAACTAATTGTTTAACTGTCTGTTAATTACGAAGTTAATTCTTCGACTTTGAAGTTTAATATTCTCAGACATTTGGTCAATAGAAGTGTAGAAAATACTTAACAAAAAAGAATGCAGTAATAAAATAGAAGTAATTTCTGTTTCGATTTTTTTTGTGAATCTCTTTTCTTTGCTACAAAATTTCAAAAAATTTGGAATAACATGGCAACGTCGCATTGGAATTTCAAAAATAAATGGTAATACGGGGTTAGTCATATGTAACATGCACAAAAATATATAGGTTCAGTTTATAGAACATTTTAAGTGAGATTAAGTTAATCACGCATTTAATGAGGCGTTTAGCGACGTCTGATTGGTGTAGACTTGCTCACGTGGGACTTTAATGCCATACCTACTAAAAATGTAATCGCAATCAAATATTTAATTGAGCTTGACTAAACTGGCTCCATTTTAGGTTGTGGCCTTCAAAGAACTAGAAAACTTTGGTTTTTGACTTTATTAATGAAACACCCTATATATTTTTAAATGTTTTGATTGACCTCTTTTTAGGTTTTACAACTACAGTTTATTTTGGAAATTACGAGGCGACGTTGTCACGTTTATTCCAATTTTCTTGAAAAAAATCACAGTAGTTATTTTTAAAATCTGTGTTACAATATTTTGTGAAGAGATAAAGAAAGGTACGGCTTTGATGTGGTATAAAGGAGATTAAATTTTCATATACAGAGTGTTTATAAAAAATGTTTTCAATATTACATAAATAGAAATATTTTATGACTGCTTCTTATTGTATTCTTTGTTCTCTCTCTAAGAAGAAGAATGAGGACAAAACAAAAAATAGAATAAGATACGGTAATAAAATACCGGGTGTTCCATTTGAAAAAGCCGAAATATATATACTAGAAAATTGTAAGGTGGTGGATTTTTAATAAACTATGTAAATTCGATCCAGTTGATACGAGTGTAAATTAAAGAAAAAAACAAAAATTCGCTAGTAGGCCTAGTCATTATTTTAAAAATAAATTTCATGGCCTACTAGAGCATTGTTTTTTCGATCATGTGGCACTATAAAATTTCAAGTGTATTTTAAAGTCGTTTTCCCGTGATGGTAAATATTTTGTAATTTTTTGCAGGTATTCTTTTAGAAAACGGCAATTCGATACCCCCGGCAATCGTGCACCAGAACGGCGACTCCCTCGACACGACCACGTCGGAGGAGAGCAACCAAGGCCTGGCGAACGGCAAGTCGAGCAGGAACACCCTCCTCGACGAGGACACCAACACCTCGTTCGCCGACAACAGCAGCCCCGCGTCGATCGAGGCCGAAGAGACGAACGACTCGGTCGTCTCGGACTCCACCAACGACTCGATGGCCCCCGAATACAAACGAGCCCTGGACGAAGAGGACTCCAACTCGATGGAGGCGCCCAGCAAAAAGCTCAGAGAGGACGTCGGAGACAAGTGACAAATACGGGCGTACCATTAAGTTCATTATTTTTTTAACTAAATTAAATGATGTAATCGTGTAAGGTTTAGATTAACTGTACACACAACTGTTTGCATAATTTGTCGTGGTTAAGTTGTTCGGTGGGTTTTTTGAGTGTTCTGTGTGTTACTTCTCCTCTAATATCCTCCCGAGTGGCACTCAAAAGGACCCATTTTGTAAGCCCATTAAACAAAAATTCACAAAGATAGGAATAGTTGAGTGTGATTCAAGAGTCCTTTAGGAGTTTGACGCTTTGTTGGCGGCGGCGAATGAGGAAGGGTCGGGTTCGGGAGGTCGGGCGTGTTCGGCGCCCCCTTGCTCGTTCGTCGGACAACGAAGTTACCACTGAGTAAATTTCACCCGGAGTATGAACATTTTTTCATTGTAATATTTGTTTTATATAATTGTTCCGTTGTTTTTTTATATGTACATGTAAGTAGTCACATTATTTTGATACCGCTCTTAATCAACTTTCTTATTATATATGTAAGAATAGACTAAGTAATTTATTTTCATTGTTTTTCGTTTTTAAATTTAGGCATTCATTTAGCGTAATTGACGACATTCCACTTTTTCATTTGATTTTTATATATATTATTGTGAAAGAAGATTATAGGAAGTTTTACATTTGAAGGTGTGTTGTTACGCATTGTAAATACGACATTATTTTTACTTTGATTTGGGTTCGGCGGTTTGACAGGACTTCAAATGTGAATTTTCTCGTCGGTGTTATAAAATCGTCTCACGGGAGTACAAAAACGACGAAAAGAAACCGAATCAAGGCTACGATTTTGTAATTTCGAGTATAGATGCTCCATTTTAATATAAAATATTTATAATGATATATAGATACAACAAATAACTGAATGCCTTTTATGAATAATACTGTAGAATGTATACATAACACTTTTACAAAAAACAAATAGTTAGTGAATTTATTTAAAATTATATATATAGTAATGTGTTATTATATATTTTTTTTAATATTCTAGATTATGAATGTCTTACCGACTTTTTCATATTTTTATTCGCCCTACTCACTCTGCTTCTTGTAATCATAGGAAACAGAGATATTCATAATCTAAAGGATGTAATGTAAAAATATCAGTTGTAGAAAATGAGTTTGAGGTTTTTTGTAGGATATTTTCATAAATATAAATCTTTCACGGCAAGCTTACGTTTCACTAAACCAGGTGGCGCCCTTTGTCAAAAACTCCGTTACATATTTACAAAATTTATTCACGTATCAACGACTCATTCAACTTCCATACTCTCCCCTCGCGACCCGGAATCCGCATATTTGTGATTGGCGTACAACTTGGCAACGCTGCCGCCCGTCGACCGTCCGGTGAACTCCGGCCTCGACTTCACCTTCTCCTGCGAGGTGAACATGTCCAGCAGCGTCCTCGGCGCCGAGTAAATCCCCGTGGATCGACTCGTCGAGGACTTGGTCGTCGGCGGGTTAATGCTGGTCAGCGGGGGCGGCGACATGGGCGAGTCGGTGGTGGCGCGGATGACTGACGCCCTGGGGGCGTCCGGTTCCGACTTCGACGGCCCTGTGGGTGTACACGTTATCAAAGAAACAAAAATAGTGATGATACGCACCGATGTGGTCTAGTTCCCTCAGCGCCTCGTCTAACTCCACTTTCTCCGATAATTTTTCTTCGTCGAAATTGAATTTGTGACACTCCAGGAGGCAATTATAGATGTTTCTATGGTCAGCGGTGTGCAGGTTTTTCTTTAATAGGGTTTCCAGTTCGTTCCACATTGCTTTGTACTGGTCTTCCCGTTTCTGACCCTTTACCCTCTGACCCGTATTTAAGGGGTAGAGCGACTCGTTTTTACTCTCGAGGGCGATGAGGTTGTAGATTATGCGCCTACACTGGAACACTTCGTCTTCGGTGATTTTTTCCTTTGTGATGATGGACGGAAGCGGGTCGATGTACTAAAAAAAATTAAAGCCAGCTATTAATAATAATAAATACATGTGTCATCAAAAAATATGTATACTGAAGCACGTCGACTATAGGCTTTTTGCCAGAAATCATTAGGTTACTGAATAGATGGAGTAGTCACGTGGCTACACAAAATTGAACCCATTAAGGTTTTGGCGGGATTAAAAAAAAAATATGTTTGCCCATTTATAAATCCTTATCTTGCTTTCAAAACATGTAACATACAATTTGATCCAAAATGTTCTTATAACAACATAACAAGTAAAAAATAACAGGTGTCTAGTTGCAAAATCACTCACACTAGGTGAGATACCATCTATTGGCAGAAACATAACCTTAGATTTTAAAACAAAATTTTTTGTTGATCTTTAATAATTTATTAATTTTTTACAAAAGATTAAGATACTCTCTTTTTAATACCACATATTTCTGTGGCTAACTTTAGATTTTCCAGTGAGTTGCTAGCTATTTAAAACCGGATTTGATAGGGATGTCTTATGTTCGAATCTTTTAAATTTCAAACTTCAAAAATTCAAAATGGCAGGAAAATGACGTCCAAGATTTTCTGGTCCCGACTGTACGTCGTTTTTCATTTTACTCTTCATACTTGGTATCTATCAAGACAAGAAACAAAAACCGAATCCACTGTTGTTAAAATTTAGTAAGGACCTCAAATTATGGCGCAAATTTTGTAAAATTCATACAATTTTTCTATAAAAAAATTGGACAACCAGTTATTTCAAAGATTAAAAAAAAAAAAACATGCGATCGGCAATTTAAAACGAGTTCAACAACTTTAAGGAAAAAAGTACATATTTAGAATTCCTTGAACGCAACAACCATGGTTACCATAAGCTAAGGTATCGAGATTAAATCAACCCATATGGTGTTTTTTTGTAGCTGAATCCATCGATGCATAAATTCGGTATATTGCATCTGGATTCCATTCCAAATCGACTTTTTTTTCAAAAATTTGTATCAACAAATCAGTAATTATTTAATAAATGTGGTAAAAAAAAATCACTTAAACGTTGTTCTACTAGGTGTAAAAGGATATATCGGGTGTTCAATAGAAAAAGTCATCAAGTTGGCATTGATTTTTTGACAGAAGGAAACGTAAAAAGCATGTCTTTCCATGTTGTCAGCTTTCATCGATTCAACTTTAGTTTTACTGTAGATATACTTCGCAAAGTTTACACAAAATCAACGCCAACTTCATGACTCTTTTAACCGAACATCCGATATCCTAGGCTACTGTGTCCTAGGCAACGCAAACTACAACAGTTACATAACAACTTTCTAACAGGCCTATGCCTGTTGTTATGTAACTCGATATTAATAATATAAGTACTATAAAGTACCTAGTAGTACTCAAATTATTAATATCGAGTAACTCTTTAATGTTAATGATTTTTGTCAGATTGGCAACATATTTAAAATTTTAAATTTTGGAGCCAATTCGGTAATTGCCGTCTTCTCATTGGTTTTTAGGAACGCTCATGTTAAAACTGACAACTATGACTACTGTGACTATGAACTGACATGCTAACAGTGCAGTGCTGCCAATTTTTCAGAATTGTCAACTCAAAAATTTGAAATTCATACGAAAAATATTGATAAAATGACAGTTAAACTTCTGAGTTCTGTCTTAATGTAACCGACTGTAAATATCTATGTTGCCGACGTTTTACAAGTTTTTAGGTCTCTTTAAACCTTCATGTAGTTTGTAATAAATATGAAAAATTAAACCTGTAAAAAATCGTCAACAATACTATAAATTTATCAAAAAAAAAACAAGTTTTAGAACTGTACAATAAAAATATCATCAAGTATTTACCTTTTAAGTTAAAAATACGAAAAATGCCATATGTGTATAAAGAAAATAACTAGAAACAACAAAGAAAACTCGAACAATTTTGGAAACTGACACTATCATAGTTAGTACCTTTTTCTATTTCGCGTTTATAACCGAGCTCTTAAAGCACCCAAATTGACTGGTTTAATATCGTTACTGAGTTTCGTTATTTTCAAGATTGGTGGTCATTAGTCATTCTCATTACTCATATCAAATGTCAAACATCAAATAAACTAAGACGTCAAAAAACGAAATAATATTTCTCGTAGAAAGAACGAGATTTACAAGCAAATAATTAATTTATCGCTTCAGCTTGTTAATAATAATTTATTATTGTGAAAATTGGAACTTCTGACATTTGTCGTACCAACCACGACAAAAGTCCCCAAACCTCTAAAAATTGTAATTTTTTAAAAATGCAAAAAAAAAGATGTGAAGTAGAAAAAAATAGTATAAAATACAGGTCTCACAATACATTTTAGCGCAAACTCCTTTGACGACTTGTTTCCTAATTTTGGAATTCGTGCCGTATGGAACTTGTTTTTTAATATGCTAATTTTCTACTTCGCACATTGTAAATAAAAATTCATTTTGAAAATTTAAACTTCAAATATTGCAATCTGATATTTGTAGTACCAACCACGGCAAAATTCCCCAAAGTTTTAACAATTCAAATTTTTACCCTAAACACCTGGAAAAAAAGTTGGAATAGAAAAAAACACGATAAAACACACGTTTCATAAGGCATTTTACCGCACTCATCCTTTAAAAAACTCCGCCGACAACTTATTTTTTAATTTTGAGATTCGTGCTTTAAAATAATGTCGTTTTTTAATATACTTTTTTTTTTGTTTATAACCGAGCTGTTAAAGCACCCTAATTGAGTACTTTAAGAGCTTAATTGAGTTTCGTAAAAACTGGCGTACAAGATTGTTAGTCATTCCAAATGAAACAGTCAAATACCAAATAAAATAAATGTCAAAAGAACAAATTTGGTTGATATATCCACTGATTTCAGGAACTAACTCACAAAAAAGGGCTCCAAAAGAACTTTACCAAGCTTAAGAAGAGCGTTTGCGTCTGCCAAATGCTCTTTTTGAATTATTTGCCCAAACAGTTTTAATGGTCCGATAAAAAATTACCATCCTTCAAAAACTTCAAATGTTGAGGTGTCACCGAAAGATTTTTTCTTTGTATTTGAATCCATCTGATATATGTAGATGGTAAAACACTACTTTGGTGCTTTGTACATATATTGGTCACCCTTATTTTTTAACTCCGACGTTTAGATTTTTGAAAAAAAATTGAATTGTGAACATTTTGCAATTTATCTTAAAAACTAAAAAAAAAATGAATTCCCTAAAATCTTGCAAATGTTTTAAGGTTGTCGTAAAGATGATAAATCACTAATCTATTTTTTTATTATTCTCTTCAAAAACTTGATGCCATCTCAAAATTTTGCTTGAGAATTACTGCCTTAAATGCATAAATTCGTATAGGTCCTACACTTGGCATTTTTCAATGTATTTATATTTTTATCGCTTCTTGCTGCCTTTTTTTTACGCTTTTTTTCATTGGTTACCTTCTTAACTTTTTATCTGTTTTTAATTGTTTTTTTTTTGGTCTCATTTTTTTCGTATTTTTGCCTTTTTTGTCTGTTCTTTTGGTTTTTATCCCCTTTTTTCATATTGTTCTTTTGTGGCTTTAATTCACCGTTTTTTGTGGTGTATTTTATCGGTTATTTTTGTCTTTTTTTGCCCTTTTATAGAATTTTCTCTATAGGTTTTTTGTCGTAATTTTTTGTGACATTTTTTTTGTATTCTTTTTGGTTTTTCTGGTCGCCTTTTGTGCCGTTTTTTTCTTCTTCTTCTTTGTCGCTTTGTTGTGACTTTCTTTTTGTTCTTTTTGTCATTTTCTTATCGCGCTTTCTCCTCTTTTTTGTTGACCTTTTTTGCTGCTTTATTTATTTATTTTGTAACTTTTTCGCCCTTTTTTCCTATCACGTTTATTGTCCCTTTTTTATCGGTTGTTTTTGTCGTTTTTTTACTTTTTCTGCTTTCTTTCCTTTTTTTCTGTTTTTTTTAAGATACTTTTTTAAGTAGCATTTTTTTAGCTAATTTTTTTGTGGCATTTTTTTGGTCTGTAAGTCGTCTTTTTTCCCCTTTCTGTCGATCAAATTTAGTCGCCCTTTTTCCGCATTTTTTTGCTGTGGCGTTTTTTGTTGTCTTTTTTATCATGTATTTTTGTTGCCTTTTTTTCCACATTTTTTTTGTCACATATTGCCTTTTTCTAATTTTTTTAGGCCTCTTTCAGTAAGTAGCAGTTTTCTTTGGTTTCACTTTTGTCGCATTTATTTGGTCTTTTTTGTTGGTTTTTTAATTGTTCTTATCGCGTTTTCCGCCTTTTTCAGTTGCTCTTTTTTTCTTAGACTTTTCTTTATACTTTTTGTTTCTTTTTTATAGCATTTTTCAAGTCTTTTTTTGACGTTTTTTGGTTGCTTTTTTGTCCCTTTTTATCCTTTTTCTTTGTCACTTTGTTTTGACTTCCTTTTTTGTCGAGTTTTGACGCTTTTTTTATTCGTCGCCTTTTTTTTACTTTTTGTCTGTTTTCTTATTCGTTTTTTAGTCTCAATTTTTCGTATTTTTGCCTTTCTTGTCTATTTTTTGGCTTTTTGTCCCTTTTTTTCTCGTTGTTATTTTGTGGCTTCAATTCATCACTATTGCCACGTTTTCCTCAATTTTTCATTCCCGTTTTATGGTGTCTCTTTTATCGGTTATTTTTGTCGTTTTTGCGCCCCTTTTTCGACTTTTCTCTGTAGTTTTTTGTCGTAATTTTTTGTGGCATTTTTATTGTCTTCTTTAAGGTTTTCCTAAACGCATTTTGTGTCATTTTTTTTTCTTCTTCGTCGCCGTTTTGTCTTGACTTTATTTTTAGTCTTTTGGCCATTTTTCATCGCGTTTTTTCCCTTTTTTGTTGTCCTTTTTTGCTGTCGTTATTTTATCACTTTTTCGCCTTTTTTTCTTGTCACGGTTATGGTCCCTTTTTATCGGTTATTTTTGTCGTTTTTTGCTATATTCGCTTTTATTCTCGCTTTTTTGGATATCCCTTTTTTAAGTGGCATTTTTTGGTCTGTAAGTCGTCTTTTTTCCCCTTTTCGTAGATTTATTTAGTCGCTATATTGTTGCCCTTTTTTCGCCTTTTTTTTGCTGTCGCGTTTTTTTTGTTGTCTTTTTTTATCATGTATTTTGTCGATTTTTGTTGCCTTTTTTAGACATTTTTTTGTATTTTTTGTCACATGTTTTTTATTGCCTTTTTGTAATTTTTTAGCCCTTTTTCAGTAGCAATTTTCTTTGGTTTCCCTTTTTTCGCATTTATTTGGTCTTTTTGTAGTTTTTTTAATTGCTCTTATCGCGTTTTTCGCCTTTTGTAGTTGCTCTTGTCGATTTACTTAATCGCGGTTTTGTCGTGTTTCTTATCGACTTTTCTTTATACTTTTTGTTGTCTTTTTTATAGCATTTCTCTTTTTTTTGACGTTTTTTTTTTAGTTGCTTTTTGTCCATTTTTATCATTTTTCTTTGTCACTTTGTTTTGACTTCCCTTTTTGTCGCCTTTTTTTACTTTTTATCTGTTTTCTTATTCGTTTTTTAGTCTCAATTTTTCGTATTTTTGCCTTTCTTGTCTATTTTTTGGCTTTTTATCGCTTTTTTTCTCGTTGTTATTTTGTGGCCTCAATTGACCCTTTTCCTGTAAGCAAAGTGAGTAGACATTATATAAATTCCAATGATACAGAGTGAGGCGAAGTCAGTTTTTTGGAGCGCCAAGTTAAAATTAACCAATGAGCGACAGATTACGCATGTGTAGCCGGTTGCATTCTGTCAAAGCGGTTTGTTGTCACAGGCCTTTGCTCTGCTGCCGGAGTGCCGGATACTATTTCCAACGTGGTTTTGAAGATGCGTGCGCACGGAAAGTCACTATGGAAGTTTTACGATCTTACAGGAAAAGGGTCAATTCATCACTTTTGGCAGTTTTTCCTCATTTTTTCATTCCCGTTATTTGGTGTCTCTTTTATCGGTTGTTTTTGTCGTTTTTTTGCCCCTTTTTCGACTTTTCTCTGTAGTTTTTTGTCGTAATTTTTTCTTTCTTCTTCGCCGCTTTGTCTTGACTTTATTTTTAGTCTTTTTGTAATTTTTTTATCACGTTTTCTCCCTTTTTTTCTTGTTACGTTTATAGACCATTTTTATCGGTTATTTTTGTCGTTTTTTACTTTTTTTTGCTATCTTCGCTTTTTTTTGGATATCCTTTTTTTTTAAGTGGCTCTTATTTTTGTGACATTTTTTGGTCTGTAAGTCGTCTTTTTTCTCCTTTTTGTTGATTTATTTAATGGTTATTGTTATGTTGTTTCCCTTTTTTCGCTTTTTTTCGCTGTCGCGTTTTTTGTTGTCTTTTTTATCGTGTATTTTTGTCGGTTTTTGTTGCCATTTTTTCGTCCTTTTTTTAATTATTGTTCTTACCCCGTTTTTCGCCTTTTTACTTCCCGAGCGTAAGCAAAGGAAGTATTGTAATCGAGTCCGTCGGCCGACTCTCTACTTTTACGTTTTCTCGATCTTTCATGACCCCTAGAAGACGAAGAAATAGGTCTCCCATTTCCGTCTGTCTGTCCGTCTGTCCGTCCGTCTGTCCGTCTGTCCGTCCGTCTGTCCGTCTGTTGTCCCGGATTTTTATTAGACAGATAATCTCCGAAAGTACTCGACCGATTGTTGTGAAATTTTGTACTTATATTAAGAATATCATGTAGATGGTAAAACGCTAACCAAAATTTGTCTAATCATCCCCACCACTAATGCGATGACGTCACTTCAAAATTGTACATAGTAAATGGGTTTTCAATTGTATAAAATAACATAGTCCTACACATGTAGTTTACAACTCCGAATCGACTTTTCACTCGAAACGTCCAGATTTTTGGAAAAAAAATCAAAATTATAAAACAACATTTTGAAATTTAATTTTTAATCTGCTAACCAGAATGCTTTGAAATGTTGCAGATGTTTTAAGGCTATAAAGAGCATCATAAATCTTTAGTCAAAAAATATTTGCTTATTCCCTCCAAAAACTTGATGACGTCAGGTCGAAAATTTGCCGAATAAATCCTATCTAAATTGTAAAAATATGATGAGTCTGTACTTGTAATTTATCACTCCATTCATATTTTTTGGATTTGCATATACAGGGTGACTCAAAAAAATTAATGAACGCGTAAATATATTTTATTGATTTAATCAGGAACTACAAAACCGAATGCTCTGAAATCTTGCAGATGTTTTAAGGTCATAAAGAGCATAATAAATGTTTAGTCAAAATATATTTGCTTATCCCCTCCAAAAACTTGATGACGTCAGCTCGAAAGTTTGCCGAATAAATCCTATCTAAACTCTAAAAATATGATGAGTCTGTACTTGTAATTTATCACTCCATTCATATTTTTTGGATTTGCATATACAGGGTGACTCAAAAAAATTAATGAACGCGTAAATATATTTTATTGATTTAATCAGGAACTACAAAACCGAATGCTCTGAAATCTTGCAGATGTTTTAAGGTCATAAAGAGCATAATAAATGTTTAGTCAAAATATATTTGCTTATCCCCTCCAAAAACTTGATGACGTCAGCTCGAAAGTTTGCCGAATAAATCCTATCTAAACTGTACAAAATATGATGAGTCTGTACTTGTGATTTATCACTCCATTGATTTTTTTTTTGGATTTGCATATACAGGGTGACTCAAAAAAATTAATGAATGCGTAAATTTATTTTATTGATTTACTCAGGAACTACAAAACCGAATTCTTTGAAATCCACTGCGAAAAAAAAAACATAATAGGCATGCAGTCGTCACGTTTCCGACAGCGAGGGAAGTACTGTCTAAACTCTTTAGACCAATTTTTTAATTATTCCTTTTGTCGATTTACTTAATCGCTGTTTTGTCGTCTTTTCTTTGTATATTTTTTTGTAGTCTTTTTTGATGTTTTTGGTTGCCTTTTTTTGTCGCATTCTTTTGGCATCATTTTTTGTCTTTTTTTTTCATTTTTTGTATTTATTATCTTCTTTTCCCGTTTTTGTGTTGCCTTTTCTTTGCAGCTTTTCATGTTGTAATTTTTCTCTATTTTTTACTTTTTTGGTCGTTTTTTATATCGTCAATTTTTGTCGCCTTTTTTTCGACATTTCTCTGTCTTTCTCTATCGCTATTTTTATCGCATATTTTATTGCATTTTTGTAATTTTTTAAAGTCACTTTTTCAGTTGCATTTTTTTTTTGTCTCACTTTTTGGATTCCTTTGGTATTTTATCGTTTTTTAATCTTTTGCTCCTCTTTTTAGTTGCCCTTTTTATTGATTTATTTAGTTGTTATTTTCTCGGTTTGACAAATTTCGAGTATTTCAAGGGGCATAAAACTTCAAATTTTACAATCTGACATTTGTCGTAGCAAAATTCCCCAAAAAATTAAAATTCCAATTGTAACTATTTAAAACGTAAAAAAAGGCGCGAAGTACAAAAAATACGATGAAATACAGGTTTCATAACGTATTTTATATCATTGTGAAAATTTAAACTTCAAATGTTAATAATCTGACATTTGTCGTACCAACCACCACTAAATTCCCCAGAAGTAGAAAAAGTATGATAAAATACACGTTTCAAAAGGCATTTTTTCTACCGCCCACGTTTTTTGGTTTTCTAATAGAGCTATTAACGCACGCAAATGACGTCACAGCAGTTCGTTAATAGCGGAAAGGCGTTCTTTAATAGATCTGGTGTAATTTAGATCGGTAAGATTGGTAGCAATGACGAGAAATGTCAGGTGAATGTCAGTGCCAATGTAAACTTAAAATTTCCCATGTTTCCGGACGCGTAACTTCTTCGCAAGACATTTTAACCAATTTTAAATTACAAAAACTCGAATTGATTCGAATTACAGTTGTTGTTGTGAAAATTCGAACCTCAAATATTTCGTGGTTAGTGTCAGACCAACCCATCACCAACCACGACAAAAGTCCCCAGATTAAAAAAAATGCAAATTTCAATTAAATTTTGGGAAAAAACGTGTGCGGTAGAAAAAATAGTATAAATAACTCGTTCATAAGGCCATTGAGGCACTCATCCTTTATATAACTCGCGGCTTCGCCGCTCGTTCTATAAACTTGGATTCGTGCCTCAATATTTGCCTTATGAAACTCGTTCTTTAATATACTATTAGCGTACCATCCTTTAGAAAACTCTTATAGGTACTTTCTTTGTCAGATACTGCTCTAACTTCACTCATGTTATTATTATCTGTCATATAACATGATTATATTCCAAACAATTGTTTATGGCAAGACAGGTCAAAGCCAACTTGCCTCTGAAGTATACACAAACAGCGATACATATGTATCGGTTTCAATTTACCGCTGGCAAAACTACATCAAACCCAAACTTCACCTACCCCCTTCAGGTTAAAAATCAGCGTCGAACTGATCGTCAGCGGCCAGTACTTCGTGTGCCTATTCAACCTCGTCTTCATCTTCTGCATCGGCCGATTCCCCTCCTCCACGAACGCCGTCTTGATCGGCACCAGCGTGTTCTGCTTGATCAGCACCCCAAAATCCGTGATCCTATAATCCGTCACCCGCCCGCCGCACCCCTCCGAGATGCTCGGCGGGTCCTCCAGCACCGACCGCGCCGTGCACAGCGTGTGTATGAAAATCTCGCCCCCGTGCGACGCCAACAAATGACTCGTGATCTTCCCCCCGGCCTTGCGCGGCATCTCCAGCATCACGCTCCGCCCGTTCAGCAGGAAGTTGATCAGACACAGCGACGGCCGCGAATTCACGTCCACCGGCGTGATGCGGTGCATCGCCGTGCAGTTCTGCAGCTCAGACCCGGTGCATCCGCGCGGAGTGCACCACTTCAAGGTCACGGTCTCGTACTCGAGCCCGTCCTTGACGGTGCGGATGGCGGAGGAGTCGAGCGCGTTCCCCTTGAGGATGGCCGTGTGGGCGTCGCTCGAGTGGTAGATCTCGACGTCGTAGTTGGCGGAGGAGCTGGCGTTCTGCTCCTCCTTCATGGGGATGCCGGTGACGGTGGTGCTGCCGAGGTTGTAGTGCTCGAGGATGAGGGTGGAGAGCTTGTTGGAGATTAGGGGGGCTTTGATTGAGTGGACTTCGGTGGTAAGAATAGGCGACAACTATTGAAGAAAAAAAAAAAAAAACGACTGACGTTGAAGTGTTGTGAACCGTTAAACTTACGTTCTTAGGCGAGTGGTTGTTGACTTGGGACTCGATGTTTACGGGGAACGTGTTGATGATGACGAGGTGGCAATGGTCAATGGTTAACAATCTGCAACCATAATACAAGGCGGATTCATAAACCACAAGTATAATATGTCTACAAACCTGTCTGAACCCGTAGCCACTTTATTTTGTTGTTGCAAAACACTCAAAAAAATCTCCTCCAGACGCTTCATGCTATCATTATCTCTAGCTGAAGTTATACAAATCACGCGACACCTATTCACCAATTTAGTTTGAACATCACCGAACGACTGACTCTTCATTTTCTTCCCTTGTATCTCAGTACAGTCACTCAACGCCTCGATAGCAGCTCTCAACCCATGCAAAACCGTGTATTCCAAATTTCGATTGATGGCATGAGGGGGCGGAACCCCAATCAACGACATCGCATTCATTATCTACAATTCAACTAAACAATACAAAAAAACACATTACACTTGTACATACGTGACTCAAATTTTGTTGTGAGGGGCTCCATGTGTTCAAAATATGTGCAACAGTGTCACTTGCAATGAACCTAACCTAAAACACAGAATGACTTGTCTGCTCACAAAATTGACCAAAACGTACTAGTTTTCCTTGGGGGAAGAGGTCCCAGACGATTCTGCAGTACTCAATCGCCGACTCCACACTCGACGTCCACAGCGACTTACAAATGGGCGTCATAGGGATAAAACCGGGAGCTCGGGCTTTAAGGAACTCTAGTTCGATGGGGCTCTCACATGATATCCCGAAGTAGGGAGTGTGGTCCAAAACGAAGACAGTTTTGTGGTTTGACGGAAAAAGCTTGTTTGTTACGGAAAAAGACATGTTTGCTTTTGTTGTGACGTTTAGGTTATGTTATTTTATATGTCATTTGTCATATGTCACAAACGTCAGCGCGGGTTTTTTAAATTCCACAAACGTGTATTTATAGTGGTCTGCATCCGTGTTTATTTGAACAAGTATACATTTTTAAAGCTTCGTTTAGAGCCAATAATAGATTACATCAAAATAAACGAAATTAAAACTAGTTTTAGAAATGGAAAAGTGTGTGACCCACTGGTGTGCATATGACCCAGAATTAAAGAAGTGGTAGCAAGGCCAAATTCTTTGGAACGCTTTTCTAAACTCGAGTGTCTACTGTATACAAACGTATCAATTATTCATTACGAAGATAATTAGAAAACGAATAAAAATCAAGTACAATTATCATTCCTAAAAATGATATTGCAAAAATTCTAATTCGGTTTATTTCGTTCGCATAAATCTACGTTATGAATATTGATGTGTTCATTCATAAATTCAAAAAATTCGGAAACGAGATAAGAAAGTTGTGCAAACAAAATATTAGCACATTTACAGCTTTTTTTTAACTAAAAAAAACATAATTGATGAAGGTATGAAAACTACGCCAAAAACGACTGGATTACCGTAATTTAATTTTGGTCGCGTTGTTTTTTTAAGGTTAGTAGAACTTGGAGACACTCGACTTGGAATATTCAAGCCTGCAGCGTACCAAATAAACTACTAGCTTCTGTAATGAATTTACCTACATTTTTCTGGAATGTAACTAACTAAAGCATAAAAAATTGAATTTAATCTCGATAATTATAAGTAATTTATTCTTATAATTACGTTTCTATTATAAGTTAACAAGGTGAAGACACATCTATTCACTGAACTGTTCACAAATAAGTAGGTAATCATGAATTTTAATAACGTATTACGAACACGTAAACACAATTTAGTTTGTTAATAGCTGTGTCCAAATAAGGCTCAGCTAGCATTTAATTCGTTTTTAAGGCAACTAATAATTTTTTGGAAGAGTTGAAGACATAAAGTTTCTAAAAAATATCTGATGTAAATAATTTTCATCAACTGAACAACTTTTGTGGATAAAAATGCAATATTTAATTTTTATAGATGCATTTCATTCAATTCAAAAGAAAAATACAAATGACTCAACTTTTTGAATCTAGTTCACGAAACGGGAATGCAGTAAACATTTCTTAATTAACTCAGTTAATCAATAGTAGTCACAGCAAGCAAAAAATTGCGTTTGTCTAATTCTTCCACCTGGTTTGTCGCTTCCCATAATCATTCCACCTGTCCCACGAGGTCAAAAACCGACCTTCATTCACATTTGCGATCCGATTCTCATATTCTTCGACCAAACTAATATGCAAAAATCCAAAACCGATTTATTGTCCAACCCACAACCATCCAGAGAAAGTTTTCAGTCATAAAATAACGGTAACACACATACCTTTTCGCGCTCCACAATGCAACAATTAAGCAAAAACCCCCACCGCTGCAACCAGAAATCCAAAAGTGATACGTCAGAGTGACTTAAGTAAGCTAAAAGTAAATTGCAGGAAATGACTCCAATGGTTATTTATGCCGCTGATGGTAATACTGACATAGCGTCACGACTGTGACTAAATGTTTATACATATTCTAAGAATTTCTTCTTTGTCTCCTCTTAACTGTTTAGCTCCATATGGATATTTTGCTTTTTATTTTTTAATCTGAGACCCATTTCCATCTTCATGATTACATGTTATTGTTACATTTTCATATTACTATAATTTCGAGGAATCTAAGAATTATTTCAAGTAGGTAAGTTTAAACATAAGATTCATCATTTTCCGGTAGGTAAGCATAAAAGTTATCTCTTTTCTGGAACAACAAACCAACGACGAAGAGATCGAAGACACAGCCACCCAAAGAAGTTCAAGCCTAGGACCGAAAAACCCCAGTTTCACCTCGCACATTAACCCTAAATCTAGAGCCGGTTTAGTAGTACCTAGTTCGAGTATGAGCACCGGAATTATATACTTGCCGAAAGAGTACAAACCCGAACAGAATCTGGAGAATTTGGAAAAAAGACTACTGAAGAAATCGACGAGTACATGGTACAAAACGCGTTTACGAATCTCATCTTCAGCGAAAATTTTGAAAAGAAGGTGCGGTTTAATCGGGTCAAGTCGTTGACGTACCCTTTGAACAGTCAGAATTTCCGGAACAAGCCTGTTCAGAGGAACGAGAATCAACTTGTTTGTAACTATTCGGATATTATTTCGGCGAGACGCAACAAGGAGCTGCAGATTTTGGGGTGTTTGATTGTGGAGATCTTCATGGCGAAGCAGCTGCGAGCTTTGGGTGCCAACGATTCGAATTTGTCGTTCAATGAGCGTTTGAGTGCGTGCTTGACCGTCATGAGGAGTTGCAAATTTGATCTTCCATCGTGTATTTCGTACATCGTGCACTTGTTACTCCAACCGGATACCATGAATTTCAAGGAATTTAAATATCCGTCCGTTACTGATCTCGGGTTACCACCACCAAGCGCCCATTTGCTTTCGGAGCCTCTTCTCCACTGCGTTATCCCGTTTCCGAGGCTTTTCCCTAATCTTTATCACGTTATTTCGAATTTGAAGGAGTTTAAAAATGTCGCTGTGGAACTCGGGGTTTTGTACCATTTCGACTGCAATGGTGAGATGTGCGCGGAATATGAAAATCTAGAAAGGACGAAAATTCTTTTCGCCCAGAACATCGGAGAATGTAAAGTAAAAACGTGTGCTAAACACTTGGAGGTGTTATTGGAGGAGCTATACACAACTACGGATACAGAAATCGTGAACATCCTCCTCCCACACATCAGGGAGTTGATTGAAGACCCTCCAACTTCCGTTCTGGCAGCTTGGTACTTATTCGACCCATTCTCCCGAGTTCTAGGACCCCAACGAACCTCAGAAACCCTCCTGGATTCCATTTTGAAACTCTACGAAAACGAACCGAACGAAAGTACTTTACCCTACTACGGCAAAATCGCCAAGTTGTACCATCACAGTTTGCTCTTGCGACTGATGGTGAGGTTAGGTTTGAAATGCTTCCTCGACAACTTCACAGCTCCTTTGGTCGAAGCCGTCGGTCGATACAAAGATTACGAAAAAGTCGACTTCATCCTCCACACGCATTCAGAGAAGTTCGTTAAAAAAACGTCCCATCTGAAGACCATGGACAACGAACACGTCGACGCTTCGGCTAGCGACGACTCAAGCGTTTCCTCCGAGAAGCGCCCAACACCCAAACAAGAATCCAAGCAGGTTTCCGAACCCGAAATTTTCGACTTCGAAGACGACAAACAAAACGAAGAACAACTCAAGTCTTTGATGGGACACTTGGAGTTGAATGTGGCTTCAGACTTACCCTTCAACCATTCAACGGCGGAGGAAGCCCTCGATGCCACGATTACGGAAAATCTAGATCAGTTGCGAAGTCTGGAGGAGTTGAATATGAATTTGAGCGAAGATGACGACGGTAAGGGGGCTTGCTCCCCCACGATTCCTATTCCGAGCGAGAAAGACTTCACCAACATCAGTTGCGAGATCGGTAGCAAGAAAAGGGACTCGATTCGGTTCGAGTTGGTGTTGGATTCACCCAGTTCTGCCAACTCGGAGGCCAAAAAGGGTCCCGCAGTGCCAAAAAACAGGAAACAAGATGCCAAAATATCCGATATGAGTTCTGATAGTTTGATTTGGTTGTCTCATCGACTGGGACCGGTGCTGACAGCGAGGTATTTGTCTTGAAGTATATTGAAGATGTAGACTTGGTGTTACGTGGGGCGGGAAAATCTGACGCGGATTTCTTTTGTTTCGAGTTAAGTGCAGGGAGATCATAAAGCGTGGAAGGTTCTGGAGTGTTTGACTAGAAAATTGCTGATTAACTCTCTGCTACGCTCTTAACAATCAACTGGTGAGTCTGGCAAAAATAGTAAAAGAAATCCTTCTCACATTTTGGTGGAGTCATAATGAGTTTAAAATTGGTTCTTTTGCTACGTTTAAAAACTAAACAACACATTTATTGTCACAATAACTAGTAATACAGCTTTTAATTAATATTTCTCTCGCTCATGACTATGTTTAATTTAATTACTGTACGTAAGCGAAGAAAAATGTTGTTACCTCGATGGGAATTGAACCCACGCCTCTTGCTTTCCGGGCAAGCATCCAGACCACTAGACTACGAGGCGACTTATCTTTCTCCGCGACCCGACCTGTTATGGTGCCGCCACACTACCATTTCATCTAGACGTACAAAGATATGGTTGTGTTGTTTTTGTAATAATTTGATAAAATTCCATTTGACAACAATATTTGCCCGACGTAAAGCGAAGGTACTTATCGGCAAAAATCGAGTAAGCTGTTAAAAATGTTTGGCAAAGTTTTCAAAACGCTACGTTAATTCTTGGGTACACATGGTGTACTATTTTGGGAGGCCATGGTGATTTTTTATTTCTAAATTATTTAAAATAATTTTAGGGGACTTTGGTGTTCTATTTTTGGAAAATTCTGACCTATAGGTATTCCTGTTTGGAAAAAAATTGAAAGTGCTTTGGAGTCTCTAGTGTCTTTTCTTATAATAGTTTAATTAAATTTCTTAGAGGATACGTCATTTGCTAAAATCAATCTTATCTTAGCAGGTACTAGACTTACCTGTCCGCCCTCTATTTTCTTAGAGAATACGTCATTTGCCAAAATCAGTTTTAGTAGGTACTAGTACGGGTGGGCCGTTTAAAAAGAAACAGTTGTGACTCCTGAAAAGGTTTCATATTCTTAAAAAAAGACAGTTGAGGCCCCCGAAACAGTTTCACCTTCTTTACAAAAAAGTCAATTAGCACCCCCGACAAGGTTTCCCATTTTTTCCTTAAAAAATAGCCCCGAGAAGGTTTCACATTCTTTAAAAAAAGACACTTGGTGCCCCCGAGAAAATTTCACCTTCCACAAAAAAAGGTAGTTGGGATCCCCGAGAAGGTTTCACATTCTTAAAAAGAGACAGTTGGGATCCCTAAGAAGATTTCACATTCTTAAAAAAAAGACA